CTGAGATGTCAGGCCCCTTCTTTCTCTTATTCCCTGGGCCTTGATATGAAGTGATCTTGTCTGTGAGCTGAGTGTTAATGTGTGATTCCTGTTGAATAAATGGCTAACTAAAGCATTTTTCTGACAGTGAAGCTGGTTGGGGTTCTCTGCCATTTTTAGTGCGACAGTGGCGTCGGATGTAGGAGTTTGCCTTGAAATCGAAGGATTGACGGTTCAAGCCCCGGCTCCGACTTTCAGTGTCGTTGTGTCCTTGGGCATTGTCTACTGATGGTGGTCAGAGGGCCCGGTGGCGCCAGTGTACAGCACCCCTGCTTCTGTCAGTGAGCTGCAGGGCAGCTGTGGCTGTCTGTATGAATGGGTGAATGACTGAATGTAGTGTAAAACGCTTTGCTCAAGCCTCCTGACTTGAAAAAGCACTATATAAGTACAGGCCATTTACCATTTATACCATTTTTGTTTAACTGTTTTCTCCTTGTTTTGTGGTTAGCCAGGGAGTTCAGCTATTGTGCTTTCTTTTCAGTTCTCCTTTAGAAAGTGGTTTACTTTATAATTAAGTAAGGGGGTGTTTTGTTTGTTGTTTTGGCCTTGGAGACTCTGAGAGTTAATGCCTCCCTGTGTTTTGCTGTCTGCTGTATTTTTTAACTCCTGCATATTGTGAAATTACATTTTTTTCTACTGACATCATTTTTTGTTACTGACTTTTGTGTTACACCCAGTGCCAGAATCTATCTTTAGTGGTCTTAAGTGGGGGGGTTGTAACAACGTCACATGTCAGAAGTTCCTAAACTTAGCAGTACCTGTCAGGGATGCCCAGCCTCTTCACGCTCCTGTAGACGGACAGTGAATTGGCCACATGCCGGTAGTTGAACCAGAACCTGGAGGTACACACCTGTTTGAAAGAAAACTGGTCACATAATCAGGAAGGATTCGAAGAAAACCATACATCTTTATGGATAAATACTGACCAGAACAGCCCAGTTGTTTGTATGGCCGCTGCTGAAAAACTGGCCGGCTGTTTTCTTAAAAGAATAAAACACAAAACGTCATTATTTTTCGTTAATTCGTTTAAAGTATGAGATTCATGCAGCAGTGACAGACATCATAAGCTAACCGGAAGCGAGTAATCTGCTACACAAAAATACACAAATACAGCAGGAAATTCAAAGCAAGGTATAAAACCACATGCTCACCTCAATATTTGTGCAGTCGGTAACCAAATATGCTACAAAAAGGCATAGTAAACTGAGTATTTTCATTGTGCTAAGATAACAACACTGCCTGATAGTGCAGGAAGTAAAGAGCTTCCCGGAGAGTACTTCCTCTGGGAGACATTTCAAAATAAAAGCTCACACCTGGCAAAGAAACAATTTTTAACGAACATCACTTTATCTGTTTACATAACAAAATAACTAGGAGCTCCACAAGTCAGAGTTTCATTTTAAGTAGATATATGCATCCATAAACTGAGTTTGATTTGGATAACTTCTTACAACTGTTGTCAGCAATGGTGTCAAAAGCATTAATATTACTCAAGTAAATCCTATTTAAAAACACTTTTGTAAAAGTTAGAGTATCAGCTTAAGCTTTTCACTCAACTAAAATTGTAAAAAAAAATAAAATTTCTTAAAACTACTTAAAGTATAAAAGTAAAGGTAATGCAAGGAAAAAATATGTTAGGGACAGAAGTTTCAAATCTCTGGTTACTGAACTAATCCATTAAAGGAACATTACAATTCTGGATGATATCTTCCTTTATTTAATTTTCTCATTTTTATAACTAATGGCAACACTGTCAAATTTAATTAGCATAATCTAAAAAATAAAAATTATAAATCAATCTTTGTCAGTTGTTAGTATGTCTCAATAAATAAGAACATAGCAAAAAGTTAATTTATTTGGTTCACTAAGTTGAGGGTATATAACATGCAATCTGCATATAGGCTGATGTAAAAAGCTCAGGCTAAACATGTCATGGGAGACTAGGCCCAGTTGAAACAAGGGACATTTACACTAAATCTTTTTTTTCCTCCAATCAGAAACATCCTGTATTGATGTTGATACTGCAGTCATGCTCAGTAGGACCCTTCTAACCAACAGGACAGAAGACTCGTATAAGAATTTCTTCTAAATTTATTGAAAAGAACATGTTTTATTTTTTTTTTAAGGCTGGAAAGTAAATTTTTAATGTCATACTGTCCAGCTGTAATTGCCAGGGTTTGGGATATTTAATAAAAGTAGCATTTGAAAAAGCTTTAAAGTCTTATTGTTTCATCATGGGATTTCTGTATGAGAGCCCAATTTTACAGATTGTTTTTAATCAAGTTCTATAAACAATACAAACTCCCAGAGCAATTTGCTAATTGAGACAAAAATCAAAAGTTGATTTGTGAAATTGAATGAACTAATGACATGTAGAAACTGTCCCTGAGAGGTGTTGCAACCGTCCCAAGGATAAGGTCGGTTACAACAGTTTAATTGTTTTTGGTTGTTGTTTTCCAATTTAATACACATGGATTTGGGCTGCAGATCATATATATACATATATATATATATATATATTTACATATAAATAAATATACATAAAATATAAATATACATTTGTCATCTCTTCTTCCTAAACTCTTAGGGGTTCTAATTCAAAGCAGAATTCCAGATTAATTTAGCTGATTATGATCTGGACCACAAAAAAGACAGACAACCCTAAATTCAAATACCCAGTATATCAGTAAACAGCTTTGTAATTTGGTCAAACGTGAATACCAAACTAAGGATGTTGCTAGTGAAGAATTATGTCTGATTGCCCTGTGTAGAGAACCAAATTCCTTTATGCAAGTCTAATGTGTCTCTACTGCAGCAGAGGGTCAGTTTGATAAGCATGCAGCATCAAAATCAGTTCTGAAAAACAGCAGGGAGAATGCTTTTAGTGCACTGAAGGCTACTCTAATCCCTGCTCCTGCTTCTGATGCTTTTTTCCCCATTGCATTGCTGACGTTTCCCACTCACAGCTTATTATATCACAGTGCAACTTGTGAAGTGCACCTTTAACTAATGCCTTGGATTTTGTATAACTTTAAATTAGAGAGCAGTTAATAAATAGCAGGGTTAGCCTGTATAGCTGAAAAAAAAATCTTAATAATAGTGCTGGGGCTACTTACTGCTGTAAGACAGTTAACCAATGCATACGATATGGTCCGTTGGTGGTTTTAAACTCTGACCTTCAGAGTGTTATGTGTATAAGGAAGCTTCAGGAGAGTAAGCCATCTATATTCAAGTAGTCAGTTACAAATAATACAAGCAGGTGACTTTAACATATTTTATAGAATGCCCTGTACTTATTTCCGAGGATAAATTCAGGTTCCTTCCCATCAGACGGATGGTATCCATACTAAATCAAAACTATATCCAATTTTTGCACAGTGAAGCTGAAAAAATTATAAATTTACACATATATTTTTGCCTTTAAACAATTTGATAAAGTCTAGATCAACATGTTATAGCTTTAAAAGTTTGTGACATTGTCATTGACAGCATTTTAATTTCTCAGTAACTACACCCGTGAGTGTATTTTAAGACATCATGGAAAACTGTAAGACATCAACCACGATACCAGGAATAAAATTTGGAATCTCAACATCTCTTACTATTTCCAGACAGCTAAAGGTGCCATGTTCTGTTTGAGACATCATGGGAATGTCCAGCCATTATATTGTTTAGAAAGGAGACAAACTCCATGTCTCACATAAACGTATTTAGGTTCAAAATGCTGGTATCAACCCAAGAACAAAAGCAAAAGAAGTAAAGACACCTCAAATGCAATAACAAAGCCTGATGATGCTTGCAAATACCACCAAACACAAATGTGATTCATTTTGGGAGACATGGAGAACTGTGGTGGCACAGTGTATAAGTGTATGACCAAAGTACAGAGGGCTTGAAAAGGCTCTCACTAATTCAGATTCCAGCCCTTTAACTTTCTCTCTCCTCACTTTCAGAAAATACCGGTAATAAAAAAAAAAGGGCCACTAGTACCAGAAAAAGTCTTTAATTTTTGGGGACATACCATGTCCTTTGGCACAGTTTAAATTGCATGTTTGGCCGTATTTGTAGGAGAAAGGTGTTCCAGCCTGAACACACCATGATCATATGTAAAGTAAGGTCTCAACCTCATTCTGCTGCAAGAGGGACTAGTGCACTTTACAAACCAGATGGAATCACAAGGAAAGCAAAACATTTGGAGGCCAACCTCTAGTACACCTGATGAGAGTCAGAAAGTACGACCACATCACACCCATTCTCCACTACCTTCACTGGCTTCCTGTTTCTGCAAGGATTGAATACAAGGTCTCAATTCTCACCCACCAGTGCATCTATGGAAATGCCCCACTAAACCTGAAGGAACTGTTCACCCCTCTCACTACAACACAATCCCACCGCTCATAACACTCAAACCACCTCAACCTCCCCAAGACTAAGCTGACTAAGTGTTTTAAAGCGATGTTTAGTTTTACATTTTGATTTTACCCTTCTATGATGATTTTACCTGTAGCACTTTGAGATTTTGTTTTTAAATGTAAAGTGCATTACAAATAAAATGTATTATTATTATTATTATTATTATTATTATTATTATTACTACCTGTGAATGTGTTTCAAGGCCACGCCTCAACCGAACTGCTTGCTTGTGTGACAACATGAAAATATTATTATTATTATTATTACTACCTGTGAATGTGTTTCAAGGCCACGCCTCAACCGAACTGCTTGCTTGTGTGACAACATGAAAATACCTTGTCAAACCAGCCAAGATATGAGGATAATTTTGAAAATCTATAAGTGTGGTTCTTCCTTTGGTCCAGTGTTCATAGGGTATAACTATTATATACAAGTTTAAACAGCTTGAAAATGTTCAGCAATCATAGCTAGGAGGAGGTTGATGCTGGTTCAAGTAGGAAAAAGAATGCCCCAATCCACAGTGGAATGAGTCCTGCTGCATATCCAAATAGTTTATTTTACTTTCTCCATAACAGCATGTGATTTGCTGGTCATTCTACACAGCTACTGCCCATCAAGGCCAATCATGAGTAGTGTGATCCTTGAGACGGATCATTCCTACTTACAGAGTTTTATTCCGGCCTCTTATTTTTGCTTGGGATTTTCCTGTCATTCTGCATACATTCATCTGTTTCCCTTGTAGACATCCTTGTCTCCAGTCCCTGGTTCTTTTTAGGGCCTCGGGAAATTGTCTCCTATAGGCCTTTTCAACCAATTACTTGAAGCTGAAGCTTAAAACGATGCTTTCAACAATCCTGGGTGTTTTTTAGATACTAGGAGCTGGCTCAGAGCCAACTCATTGCCACTTCACTGGGTTAGTGTGTGCGCCAAACAGACTGATTTCCACCGGAAATAAAAGCAGAAGAAGAAGACGACCGCTAGACAAACAAAGCAACAAGATGGACAAAGTTCTAGCAGCACATGTGCTACTCATTGCTGTAAGCATTTATGATTAGACGGTGACAAAATATGTCACTGTTGCAACTTTTAGCATCTGGCAAAGTCTTCACACTACACATGCTCCTTATATTCACACTGTAAACTCCACCCTGAGGTATTTGGGCTTGGTAAGCTCTCCTTTGGCTCAATGAAAAAGTTGGTCACCATGTTCTGACTCCAGGAGCTAGAGCTTTCAGCGATCCAAAGCAAAAAGTACAAGCACCAGTCCAATGGAAAAGGCCTCCTGGTCGTCAGAATTCCTTGGAAGTCTTATTCTGGAAGTCAACACCCCGCTAATCCTCACTAAACCCACTGTCAGAACTCCTCAATACTCCACTGACAGTAAATACTCTAATATTGCTTCTCTGCCATAACGATCTCTATCTGGAAACAAAGTATCTTCACTAACCAATACTCCGTTCAGCATTCTGTAAGAATTTGTTTTCTCCCGTTTCTCTTAATCAACACCATCAGATTTATAACTCGTTAACTCTGATAATTGTTATTGCTCATCCTCAGTGCCTTCCTTGATCACTATGCTGAGCCCCAAAGACACATTTACTTACCTATTTTTCCAATAAAATATTCAAATCTAAAACAATCCTTGGTTGTCATTTTTTTTTTTTTTTTTGGGTGGGGGGGTTTTGTCTGCACAAGTGTCCTACAGCACGTCAACATGGCCCTTGGATTAATTTGGTTTCAAAGGCTCCTCTGGTAAGGAGAGGAGAATACAAGTTGAATTGCACTTTTAAGAAACATTATGTGACAAAAACTGAAAAAATGTCCCTTATTGTGCAAAATACACTTTAAAAAATATTCAGTCTAAGAATCCAAAGTGGTTAAGAGAGGAAGTAAGGACCCGTGGTGTCAAAATTACACACATTTGTTACTTAACTAGAAGTATAGATACTGCAGTTTAAAAGCACTCTGGTAAAAGTTGAAGTATAAACTTGACCTCTTTACTCAAGTAAAAGTGAAAAGGTATGTGCTCCAAAAACTACATAGCTCCAAAAGTATACCCTTTTTGTACCCTTTAAAAAAAAAAAAAACAGCCAGATGCCACTATATAAAGCATCTCCCTGAAATGAGTTTTTGGAACTTGGGTTGTCTGAATAAGGTCCGGTGCCGTCAATCATTTTAGTATCGGGTGGTTTAACTATAGATTTTTTTTTTTTTTTTTTAACCACTATTACATCAACAAAGATACATCCTAGTCTACAATTGCATAGGGGGCCTACCAGGTGTCAGTGATGGGGCCCCCAAGAGGTGGGGGCCCCTTAACGGTAAAGTGTACAACATATTTGGAGCTGCCTTATCAGAGGCAGGATCTCAGCTCTGCCCGGAAGTAAAGCACTCCTTGTCCACCAGGGGGCGCAGCGTGCGCTCTCCTGCAAACTGAACCTGCAGCCGCTGTCAGCAGAACAGACGGTCCACACTGGAGCTGGAAGCGAAGCGCTGCGGGAGGCAAAACGTTCGAGTCGAGCCCATCAGAGCCACGCATCCTTAGCACTGAGAAGAAGCCGGTGCTGGAGGAGGAGGAGGAGGAGGGTGGACTCACCTGCACCAATCCAGTTGGGAAGTTTAAAAATAAAAGATAAACAACATGCGCTGAAAGGAGAGCTGTCACGAACTCTGTGCTTTATAAACCAGAGATACAGCCGAGGGAAAAGAAGGTGGGAAAAAATCCGCCTCCGACAAGTTTTTATCTATTTTTTTTTTAAGCGGAGATCCTGGTGGAGATGAATACCAACGATGCCAAGGAGTATTTGGCACGGAGGGAGATACCTCAGCTGTTTGAGGTGAGAGATGGAGCTGACATGTTGTTCTCAACAAAACATGATGGATGTCTGAAGCAATGTGCACTGGAGAGTCAGAGCAGATCTCATGTGTCACATTTTACTGATGAAAACATAAATTAAAAAACATGTCATGTTGATTTGATGATCTAGACGCTGTTTTGAAAACTGTTCTTTAAATGTGTAAAGGTAAGCTATAAGCCATTTAAGTTGTTGCATAGCTTTTCTTCCATATCTTGGCATATAAATTTGGAAAGGAAGGCTTTCCGCAAGAATGCACGCGTATTTTTTTACTAGATATTTGTGGCAATCTTATATTTTCACATTAAGTTCAGAGCTTGCAGGAGTATTGATAAAATATCCCCTCTTCCCTAGAGGATAGTCAATTAGCGCTCCCACTTAATTACAGTCAATTCTTACTGTGATGTGTGGCTAATGTATGCAAGCAATCAGTGCAATCACTGCCGCGTATTTGCTGTCAGTTTAAATTATGTTAAGCAGCGATGTGGCACATCATCATAACTACTATTTTGGTGCATACAGCTGAAGCTTATTTAGGCTTTTTTCCCCCCTTCATCATCCATCTATAATGAGTAGATGAAACTATTCTGGAGGCTTTGCAGGATGCCTTGGGGGCTGCAGACGAGAAGGGTGGAGATTAGGAAGGAAGTCCCTGAGGAAGGTGTTGTTTTGGAACTTTTATAGAGTTTATTTTCAGGTTTATCTCATATTGCATGTATTTCCTTTTATTTTTAAAGCAATAGACCTGCTATTAACTGCCTTGAATTCCCAGCCTGGGTCCAATCTCATAGACCCTGGAGCCCAGAGAGAAGCCAGGTTCTAAACTTTAGATATTGTTAGTTGCTCAGATCCTCTGAGCTCCAACAGAGCAACTTCCAACAATAACAATGAAGCAACAACGAAGTCTGAACCTCAACTTCTCCTTCTATATGTTTCCCACAGAGTCTCCTGACAGGTTTGATGTATTACCGGCCCGATGACCCTATCGAATACCTGGAAGGCTGTCTAAAGAAAGTCAGGGAGCTTGGTGGCACTGATAAAGTGAGGTGGGATACTTTTGTGGGCCAGGAGAGGAAGTCCCTTCCTCCACTCAATGGGGGACAGTCACGGAGGTCCCTCTTCAGAAATGGTGAGGCTACAAGAACAACACTGGTGAAAGTAAACGTCATCAGTAGCCTTAGCTGACCAGCTTGACCTCTTTTTAATATTAATTTATCCACATAATAATAGAAATGCATTGAAATTTTTGTCACAAGCAAGTATTTTATTGATTGTCTGATAAACCAACACAAAGAAACACCTTGTGATAAAGGAATAGTTATACATGTTTCTCTATTTAGGATATTCAATTCAGTTTATTTCTATAGCACCAATTCACAACATAAGTCATCTCAAGGCACTTTACAGTTCAACCAGATCATACAGTCAAATTGATTAAAAGTTTTCTCTCTAAGGAAAACCAGTTGATTGCATCGAC